TTCCCCCACTTTTCCTAGTTTAATAAGAATTTCTATAATGAATATTGAATGTTGTCAATTTTTTTTCTGCAGCTACTAAAACAATTACATTTTTCTCCTTTGTTTAATTAATGCAGTGAATGACACTGACAATTTTCAAATGTCAAATTAAAGTGAATCCCATTTAGTTGTGATGTACTGTCCTTTCTCTATGCTGCTTGATTAAATTTGCTAAGGATTTTCAAGTGTATAGGGATACACTTGATGATACATATTGATACATAGTGTATTTTTTTATAATGTCCTTGACTAGTTTTGATATCAGGGTTATTCTAACTCGTAAAGTGAGCTGAAATTGTTCCCTACTCCTATTTTCTCGCAAAAAGTTTATAGAAGCTAAGTCTGATTTCCTCTTTTAATGTTTGATAAAATTTACCAATAAAACCATCCAGGACTTAAGATCCTTTTGTGTGAAAGTTTTTAATTTCAAATTCAATTTTCTAACAGAGATAGGAATATTTACTGTTTCCATTTCTTCTGATTCAGTTTTGATTGTGTTTTTCAGGAATTTGTTTATCAATCAGATTGCTGAATTTACTAACACACTGTTATTCATATTCCATATTATGATTTCATGGACTGTGAGATCTGTAGTAATATCACTACTGTTTCATTCCCAACAGTGATAACTTGAGTTTCTTCTTTTTTATTTTTATTTCTTGATCTGTCCTGTTAAGAGTTCATCACTTTTATTGATCTCCCAGGAAACAACTTTTTGATTTGATTTTGACCATTTTCTATTTCATTTATTTCTATTCTCTTTATTATTACCTTTGTTCTTATACTACATTTAATTTCCTTTTCTTTTCCTTGCTCCTTAATACTATTCATTACTTTTCTAGTGATTCAGTATTTGTGGCTTGTGTCAGCATTTAAATATTTGGGAACACTATCACCATACTTTCTCTATTTCTTTCTGATTCATTTAGAATTTATACTCATTCCCTCAACTGAGTTTAATTCATGCCCACTGCTTGTTTTTATCCTTAAATAAACAATAATTAGCTATCAGTTATAAAAGAAGCATGTATTTTTCACATAATTCTTATCATGTCCAGAAGTTCAATGCTGAAAGTTCACTTAATAAAGAGATTTCCAGATAAACAAATACACACTAGTCTCCCCTCCCTCCCAAAATACCAATGAAACAACAGAAAATGATTTTTTTTTTTTTAAAAAGTATAACCTCACAAAGTAAAAGAGACTAAGAGAATAGACCACACTAGCTGAGAAATAGCAACAGATTTTTGGAAGTTGAAAGTAAATGAATTCAAGTTATCACAATTTAGAAAGGTAGAGAAAGGTGAAACTAAAGTCTGTATAAATAGAGATACCAAAAAAAATGTAAACCAATTTGTTTGAAAAATGGGAAGCCTAAGTTAAGGAACCAGTTAGGGGTTAAATCCAAATGCAATACTGAAAGAATGTAAGGCACAAATAGATCCCTATATCCCCACAACCAGGGGATGATCCCACCTCTGCCTCAGTAGACGACCCAAGGCTATGTATTCTGAAGAAACTGTACTAAAAAGGCACCAGTCACAGAGAAGAAATGTAGCAAGACATGCTGAGTGAAAGTCTACATACACAGTGGAGAAACACCTATCTTCCTTGACCCAGAATTATAGCAACCTCACACATCACCTTTTTTCAGGAAAATAAAGACAAAAGGAGAAAAAACCTTTAGATACTGACATTTGGAAAAACTTCAAAATAAAAATAAAAATAGATGTGTCTTTTTCATACTTCATCATGAGTCCCACCAATCAAATAACAAAGTTTCCCATCAATTTGTTGTTCTTTCATTGTGTGTGTGTAGGGGGAAGCTAGGAGGGGGGAGGGAGGAAGTTAAGAAGGGGAGAGAAAGAGAAGAGAGCTAAAGACTAGAAAAAAGAAAATAAAAGAAAGATACATATAAAATTGAAGGTGGAGGGAAAAAAACAAGAAAAATAGGGACTCAAATTAAGAGATCTAAAACCTAAAGTAGGGCCTCCCTGGTGGTGCAAGGGGTTAAACACAGCACTGTGCAGCTATCGATAACAGCCTCTGGAGCATGAGTTCGATCCAGGGAGCTACCCACATGGCGCAGCAGACCTCTCCTGTCTTGCCCGCTGCTCCCCTCAGCAATGTATTTCATTTAGTCTGCCTGTTCTGCTCCCCACTCTGTCTCTGGTGAATCCTCTCATGTCCCGCACCTCTAGCCTACACCCCAGTTCTTTTATGAATAAATAAATCTTTAAAAACAAAACAAAACCTAGAGTGAAGCTCCAGCAGCAGGGATGACAGATGGGCAAAAACATGTAAAAAACAGAATAAAAGAATAATAAAACATATCCTAGAAAAAGTGATTTGTTTCTAGATTAAAAGAGTATCAAGAGTTCAGATCTGTGGAAAGTAAGAAGGAAGGAAGGAGAAGAGAACAGAAAAGGAATAAAGAAAAAAAAACTAACTAAAGCAAATATAATGAGATTTCAGACACTGAGGAAAAAGACAAAACCCTACAAACATGCAAAAAGAAAAAACACTTCATGTTCCAAAATCCCATAATCACAATGGCATATTAGAATAACATTTCTAAGAGTAATGCTGGGAAGCTTGGGAACACTGGAGCGATGCCTTTAAAATCCTGAAGAAAAATTCCTACCTCAGATTTCCACAGTTAATAAAACTACAAATCTACTATTAGGATTAGATAAAGGTATTTTCAGGCAGGCAGGCAAATACCCAAAAGGTTCACTTACTAAGAAAGAATATTTATCTCAGAAAGCTATGAGGAGATACACTCTACCAAAATGACGGGGGAAGCTGAGGGGAAAAATAACAACATGAAATTGCAGAAACAGGGAATCAAAATCATGAGAGTAATATAGGTATTCACAAAACAGTGGCAACAGTTGTGAAGCAGGCCTGAAGTGCAACCAGTCCAGATTAAACCTGATAAACTCAAATTCTGGAAGACAAGTTTTCTTCGCTCTCTGTTTAATGTTAAAGGAAAAAAAAAGCTTTTGCCCATGGGATCCCTAGACATGAAGACACTCTTTAAGGGAAGGGAGCACAAATAAGTGAATGTTTTTCTAGTTCTAAATATAAGTCATTGTCCTTTCTCCTTGTCCAAAGGGGCTTTAAAAAAGAATGAAAGATTTGTTAAGTTTGGTAGTTACAACTATATTCTTTCTTCCTTAGACTTCAAATTTGTGGTCCAGTTAACAACCAAGGAACAGGGATGTACTATGCTCAAGAATTAGTTTTATATGAGTTTTCACTAGAAATTCCAGGAAATGAGGAAGGGGATTCTTCTAAGAGTGTTTCCTTCTGCTGGAGCTCATTAGGTAGTACAAAAGAGTTTCTTCCACAGTATAGATCCACTTCATGTTTTAGAGAAGGTAAGAAGGCTGGGACTGTAGCTGAGCTGACAAGAAATCTCATTGTGAACATGAGTATAATAAAATTGAACAGTATTGGGCCTCCCCGGTGGCGCAGCGGTTGAGCGCTGGGTTGCGAAGCTGCCCGCGGCCTCTGCGGCGCCGGTTCGATCCCCGGCTGCTCCCCGGCCACCGGAGGAGGATCCCACATGGTGCGCAGACCTCTCCTGCCGCCCGCTGCTCCCCTCAGCAGTGTACTTCAGTCCTTCTGCCTGCTCTGCTCCCCACTCTGGCTCTGGTGAATTCTCTCACCCTCCCACGCTTCTGACTGTACCCAGTGCATGTATAAACAAAAACAAACAAACAAACAAATAAAATAAATAAATAAATAAAACATGCCTCTATAAAAAAAAAAAAAAAAAATTGAACAGTATTTCCAGTTAAATAAAATGTTACTGCCATTTTCATTTTCAATTCCCCCTTTGGGATTTAATTCCTTAATTCCTTTTCATTCCCTCTAAGTTTACAGTTGAAAGTATAAGAATATACACACACTCAAAGACATCCCTCCCTTCCAGACACTTATTTTAAAAATCAAAAAATATTGTAGGCATTCCTATTGCAAAGCACTCTGCCTTCTATCAAATTGTTATTGTTTGCAAATACAATGCATACCAAACATGGGAAGAAAAGGAAATAGCAATAAATGTGCTTCTTTGAGAATAATAAATGTATCTATAGTCTAAGAAGGCTTTAACATAAATTGTTGAGAAATGATTAGAACTATAAAATATTTTTACAGCTTTTTAAAACCATACTTTCCACCACTTGCTCTAGAGTTCTCAGTATCAGAACTAGCTGAAAATTATTTTTATGAACATGAGTATAAATATAAAGGTTTAAACTTTCATGTTCATGATAGATTTTGGTGGGAAAGATATTATTATTATTTAATACATTCCTTAGACTCAAAGTTTCCTGTAAAATATTATTCTGAAGATATTATTTAAAATTAATTTACAGATGTTTCTAATACTTTCAGGTGCTACAATATCATTTCTAATGATATGAGGTGCTACAATATCATTTCTATTTTTTATTAAAAAGTAGAGAATACATTTTAAAATCACTGACACCTATACATTGACATGTACACATTCTTTCACTTTACTATGACATGAAAATCTTATAGCAATCTGTTCAGTTTATTAAGAATAGGTATCTATTTTTCTCACCCTAGTAAGTAGGGATGATTTATACATCTCTCCAGGGAGAGTTAAGTTTCCTAAATACCACTCATTATTTAAACTACACCCAGAAGGAACAATATTTTCAGAGAGTTCAGTAAGAGAGAAATTAAAAAGATTGAAAGGCATCTGACCTACAGTTCTTCTTCCCCTTTATGTAAATTTTGAAAAGGAAATCTGTGTTTACCTACTTCAGCAATAGCTTTCTATATAGGTTCAAATAGGGCCACTTCAAATGACCCATAAGATAATGGAAATACCAACCACTTGGCTTAGAAAAATTCACAAAATACAATAACTTTAAAACTTTTGCTTGAGTGGAGCTTTTTGTTTGATTACCAGGAATACTCACATGTGTGGGTTTTGAACTCCTGTAGGATTGGGATTCAGAGTAAACCTTGCTGTAGATTTGAAAGGTGGATTTGCAAAATTCAACTTCAGTGCTTTGCGTTTACCTAAGAAATAACAAATAAAAAGTAAAAGTTTCAAGTTCTATAAAGCAATACTATTCTGAGGGCATAAGGAATTCACACCAAAAGACAGAAATACTTGTTTTAAAATAGTTAATACAATATTTTGAAAGGCAACAATAGAATTAAGAAAAAGTACATTAAAATGGTCTGAAGTTCTTACTTAACCACAAATCACTGATATGCTGCAAAAGAACAGGAAACAGCGTTTCAAGTTGATATTGCTCAGAGATGATAATACCACTACAAAAGTTATTTACCTCAACAGATATATTGGAAAACACTAAAATATTACCACTTTTCTAGTGTTATATTTTAATGTCTTTAATAAAATTCACATTCCCTCAAATTTAATACAAACAACTAAGTATAGAAACTGAAACATTCCACAATCCTAACACCTGAAAAACAGCATGGTACAGTTACTAATACTGATATTTCAAATAATCTTCAGTTACAGGAGGGAGGTATCAAAGTTTTATATTATCAAATAAAACATAAAAGCCAGAAAAGATAAAACAAAAATAAGTGAAAGTTTATATACACCTATAAAGTATATGTAGTCTTTAAAAATATATATCTAGGTCTAAGTCCAATTACACCAAAATACTCATTGTTGCAGACTACTTCTCATACAGAGATACACTTATTTTCTTTACAGTATTTCATTCTACGTCAACAAATCTTACAAAAATATTCCTTTAGGATTCTACCATATGGATACTTTGTAAAAGAATTGTGTTTTAAGCATCTGTAACATATCTTGGCTTCATTAAATATACTTTTCCAACATTCTTCACAGTTTATTACACTTACTACCTACTTAAATAACATCTTTGCAAGGCAAACACTTTCCCACCTCAGTGGTTCTGGAACGTGTATCACAGAGCTCAGACTGCTCAGCCTGGTGCTTGAGGCAGAAAGGTGAGAAGCCTCTTCTAGTTGGATAAGACTGCAGGACTAGAGCACAGAGTTCCTAGCCCGGGCTCCTAAGCCTTGAGAAAGGCTCTTAAGGAAGGGCCTGTCCACAAGATAATGTAAAGTTTCAAGACCAGACCCATCATTTTTGGAAATGAGCATAGTACAATGTGAATTTTCAATATACTTCCCTTTCAGGTAGCAAACACTTATTTTTAAAATAATTTTTATTTGATAGCAACTACAGGAAGGACATTCTAACTATACATACAAAATACATCCTACAAAAAATGGCAGATTTTGGGTGTATTTTCCCCAAAATAAATTTTAATCAAATACTTGAGAAAATCATTGCAATACAAAGTCAGAAATTCTAAATATGTAAAGACATACCACAATTCAAGAAAGAGAAAACAGCCAGGGTATGAACAGAAAAGCAAAATCGAAAAAAAAAAAAAAAACTTATGATGGGTACTCATTAACACCAAAAACATAAAAATTTTTGATCATGTGAAGCTGACAAAGTTTAGAGGTTTTATTTTATACTAAACTTTTAAAAATGACACATTGGGGGCCTCCCTGGTGGCACAAGGGGTTAAGCATCAACACTATGAAGCAATCCACAGCCACTGCAGCTAGCCAGGGAGGTGACCCATGTGGTACAGCAGACCTCTTCTGACTTGCCCGCTGTATTTCAGTAGATCTGCCTGTTCTGCTCCCCACTTTGTCTCTGGTGAATCCTCTCATCCCCCACCCTTGCACTTCTGGACTATACCCCAGTTCTTTTATGCATAAATAAATAAATCTTTAGGGAAAAAAAACACATTGATGTAAGTGAATATATGTCATAGTAATCATTACATTACCAGAGGAAAAGAAAATTGATAAATTTTTTCTCATGAGTTCAGTAATATACAAGAAAATATTTTAAAAGAACATGCTTTTATTTTAGGAAATATTTAAAGGCAGAGGATTATTCCCAGGCAGTGAAAACTTACAGAATTTGCCTGGCTGCATTTTGAAACTGCGTGGACTTTCTCCCTTCCGTTTGCTCCCTTTTTGAATGAGAATCTTTATAACTGTTTTGTAATACCTGAAATAGGAATTGTGTGTCACAATGGATAGACTGATATTTGCATCCATACCTGATTTAGATGATTTTGATAATGAGATTTGGAATTGTAGAGGTGATCATGTCCCAATGAAATCTGGATTAGAGTTGACGCTATAATAGGTTAGGAGTATATGCATTTTGGAGTGGGGTGCATGTATTTTGCATGTGGAACAAATAAATGCGAATATTTGGAAGCAAGAAGGCAAAGTATAGTGGACTAGAAGGTGGTACCCAAAGATATCAGGTTCTAATCTCTGGAACCTATTAATCACTTTATATGACTAAGTTTCTGGGGACAAAATTAAGGATCTTTGTAATCATAAATGTGAATGTGCTCAATGCCCACAAACTACTGAAATCAGAAACTAAATAACACATGTCATGTAATGTATGCTTAAAACCATCTAGCCCATTATCCATGATATCTACATGGTAATTACACTAAAGAAACACTAAGATTTAATATAGCATAATAATAGAACAAAAGCCACACTATGAAAACTGGATATCCAGAGTAAAAGATCAAAAGTCCTTTCTTCAAAAGCCTGATTTGAGACAGTAGATAACTAGTGTGGCAAATAAAGTATACTAATACAGCTAAATCTTAGTCTTCTTGCAAGGAAATGTTCACACATAATATGGGGGGAGGAAAGACAGAAAGGCAGGAATTTTTTTTCAGTATTAAATGCATTCACATCTAACCAAAATTAAATTGGGGTCTTTAGAAGATATTCACTGCATAAATGAACAAGCACAAAAGAGTAATGGAATGTTACTTAACTTACATAAATTAGATTTAAATACACTCTATACTTCAGAAACATATGCAACTATTTTGAAAACAGTCCAAGTATAATATTTTAATCTTTCCCAACAAAGTATACCAAATAATTCTATAAAACATCAAAGCCTCATTAAGCAGAGATGACTTGGAGCCTAAAACTGGTGCCAGGGGGCTTAGGGCATGATCATGTTACATGGCATGTTCTCAGTAGTGCACCCCAACTCTCCAAATGATAATCATTTTAGATGAACTCGTAAGGCAATCTGGAGAAGAAACAACATTAAAGTCAATGTTGAGATTCAGGGAAAGATAGAAAAAGGCAGCCTTTACAATACTCTAGAGAAGCTAGTTCTGGTTATTTGTGAGTTTCTCTTCCTTTCCGGACCACATTCTCCAAGTACCAGAATCTCTTTCAAGACTGGTTCTTCTCACCTTTACTATTCTTTCTCAAGAGCCTCAGAAGATCAAGCCATAATGACAATTTCTCACCATGTATTCAGATATTTTTAATGACAAACCTACAAACAAATAGGACATTAGATCGGTGTGGATCTTTTTCAAAAGCCTAAAACAACTTTCACAGGAGAAAAGGATGAAAGAAAGGAAGTGATACTATAAATTGCCTGTGGAAATTTTTAAATGCTAGTAGATAATAAAATGTTAGCACAGCAGGGTTTAGATAAATGATCAAGATTATACATCTATGACTATAATGCCTCCTTTATGGGATTGTCACCAAATGATTAATCCCTGGCCAGTCAATAGAGACACTGTTACCCCTTTATCTAAAGCAGGATAGAAACCAGACATGATCAAACAGCTTAAATGCTTTCAAATCTTCCAATGATCTAGAAATAAACTTGACAAGGAGCACCCTAGACAACTCAAGAGCAGGTTAAATTAGCTAGATTAAGGTTCTGTTGTTTACAACCAAGAATTCTGACTGATAAGGAAAGAAGTATTTATGTTCATCCCTTATTAACAAAATGCTACTTAATCTCTGAGGGCAAGACTACAAACTTTTTTCCATGAATTGACTGGTATGGAAATGAGAACATTTGTTTAACAACACTGGGTAAATTAGAAACTGGTCCAAAGGCAACCTATAAATATGGAGACCATTTCTAGAATATTTTAGTCAATCTACATATCTGTTAGTCAAACTACATAAATGTTAATCTTTAAGATTAACATTTCATCAATTTTGAAACCCCATGTTTAATATCCATTACAGTAATTGCAAAGTTCTTAGTGTTGCTAGCAATAAAGATCTAAAAGGGCTAGAATAGCTGCTTCTTGAGTATGGCCTTTTTTGAATACTGCTAATAGCTCACTGTGGGTTACATGGTAAATAGTTATAAAAATAGTCACCAATGAATCACAGTTCTCTGTGTCCACATCCCTTTGCCATATGACTTGGCCGCTCTCCCACCAACACGTGGACTCCATTTCCTACCCCTCTTCAAGCTGGGCTCACCTTGAGACTTGCTTTGATGAAAATAATATAGCAGAATGGATGTTGTATGACCTCTAAAGCAAACCTTCTAGCTTCCATTTTCACCCTCTTGGAAAGCTACCGAGTTTAAACATGAAGCAGTTGAGTCTAGCCTCCTTGATGCAAGACCACATATACCAGAGATTCAGAAGTCCCAGTCACCTCAGCTGGGCTTAGTTTACCTCACTAAACCTATTAGCTGAAATAAAACACAAGAGTGAGCCCAGGTGAAACCAGCAGAACTGCCACTCAACTAACAGAATCATGAAAATTAAATAGTTGCTCTTTTAAGTCACTACTCACAGGCCTAAAGGGATAGATAGGAATGATCAGAAAGCAATCAGAATCCGTCTGTCTAAAGGAACCCACACTGTCACCACCAAACATATGAAAAAATAAGAACCTTAATTACAATGTATAAGACACTCATAGAAGACTTCCAAAAATATTAGTGCGTGATCTACAAGTATGCAGAGTATCTTATAGAAGTGGTAGAGGGGGGAGTGCGCTTTAAATCCTCATTTCTCCCTTACTCTAATTTTCTTTCAAATTCAAATAAACTCATTTTCAAAATGGAAAGAGTATCCAAAATAATCAAATTTTGGTTACAGATCCAAATGATCTGTAATCACTAGTTATGAAATGAGGAACACAAAATTCCAACTATGCAACTTTACATTCAAACAATTTCAGAAATGAGGAAATAAAGTGGTAGACAAGAACTTGTTTTCATTCCCTTTTCTAAATTACTACAGCGAAGAGTATCCTCGTTTGTTTCATAAACTCAAGAGAATACAAGAATACGAGAGGCAGAAGAGGTTTGAAGTTGGAAGAAATGGGCAACTTCGTCAATCACAGTCCAGACTTGTAATCCCAGGCATTCCAATTATTACATGAGCTACTATCAGCTACTATTATTTTGCCCTTCTCCTCAACCAGCCTTTGATACACAAGCGTGAATAATTTCCAAAAATTTATAAAATTCCACTTAGAACTTTGAACACCCATCCAATAAAATAAAACACTCATCCACACAGCTAAACATTTTGGAAACAAATGTTTTGAATTTAAGGATACTAAGTAAATAAACCACATAGTCACTTTCAGCAAATTTTAACACTTTAGTCTATAAAATGGATTTGGGGGAAGTCCAAAGTAATCCTTTACATAGCATACATACCGAAACATCTCAGTTTTATATAAGCTATTATAACAGGCCACGAAGACAAAAAGATAAGGTAGATGAGCTATCCACAAGAGTTGTTTGGCAGTCTGCCAAAATGTAAAAGGACCCTGGTAAGTGGAAGCTAAAGGGTAGGGACAGGGAAGGAAATTACTTTTTCTAGAATCTAAATGGTGACCCTAAAACACTGGTAAAGAGAAAAATCGGGATATTTCTGTGTTCCAGTAATTTACACATGTATAAAGTAAGATAACCACAGTCCCTTACTTGGCAGTACTTTTAAACTAAGTATTAATGTACTTTAAAAATGCAATAAGCCAGCTAATTCAGAAAGTAAAAATCAGAGTTGCTGTGAAAAAATGGTAACTACTAATGATGTTAGTCATATTACAATCTCACGGAAAATAAGTCTTAAATTCTCTACAAAAGGAAAAACTGGAAAGTTTGATAGCTTTTAAACCAACAAAATATATGAGCAACAAGAAAGGAATTCGGCTTGTGAATTCATCTGAACTACTATCATATTAAAATCCCTATTCCTATCCAAATTCAGCTTCAAAATGGTGCTCAGTTAGAAACTAAATAAAGCAATATGTAATAGTAGAGTCAGTCCAATGTTGAAATTCAGCTCTGCAATTTACTAGCTCTATACACTTGGGCAACAGATTTCACTTCTCTGCCTCAGTCCATTTTTACCAAATGAGATTATTATCTTCCTCAGAGGGGCCTTGGGAGAAGTTAAGATGTTACTACATATAACAGTCAGTATCAGTCACATCAACACTCACTTTTCCCAAGGTTTTGTTATCATGTTTAGGTATGAAAAGGTCATGTCTTGAGTAACAGGGGTAGGTCACTAACACCAATGCTGCCTAAATGTTAGACGTTTTTCTCATCTGACACATTTGGGCCTCTGAGCCTCCACTGTCTAAGAAAGAACCAAAATAATTCACTCTCAGCATTCTGGATCTCTGGCAGACAATTCATAGTCTTTCCCTTGAATAGAAAGATGTTTTTTAACCTGGAATATTAAGGAGGATTCTGTTATTCCTTGAGAGGGACTACTGAGGGGTACTACTACTGTGATGCCAGAAACGTCTTAATAGATCCCAGCAGATTATTATGGACTCCAAACAAAGGGAAATAAAGCATTTCTGTTACACATTTTATTACTAAGAGGCCCTTTGTTTCTTAACAAAAATCTTCAGAAAGAATTTAAAGGCTTAAAAGCCCCAAACTGGCTCCAAGTTGATCATGCAAATTGAAAAAAAAAAAATTATTTAAAGTTGTGAGTTTATCAAGTTTCATGGCATGAAGTGCACAATATGGCCTAAAATCCTTCCAAAGCTAATAGCAAAACTCGTAACTGATCCTTCATTCTCTGTTTCACCTCACCATCAACTCTGGCATTGATTATATTAGGGCTTCTACGATCTCCAGTAATGATCCCTCAATTTTACACAATGTCATTGTTAAGGGATTTTATAGGTACCACAACTTTGAACTAGCAGGCCATAAATGCCAACAGCATTACTTTTGTTCAGACTCTGAGCCAGACATCCACGATCAGCAAACAAATAAAATTCCTCAAGATAAATTGGCTAAGTCTTGATTGTCCAAACTCCTCAAAAACACCCAGGAGCCAGCTAATTCATCTGAGGTTAACAAAACAGCACTAATGTCAAAACTTGATTGAAATAAGCAGGACTTTAGATGCTTGTTCACACAGAGAATCAAATAGATTCTACTGAGCAGTATCTTGCTTTTCGATCTCCACTGTACCAACTTCTCCTAATAGGCCTCCAGGTTTCTTGAGAGGCAAAATGAAAATACCTTTGTCTGAACTGCACAGCCCCAACTGAAGTCATTACTTTCTAAAATGACAAATTGGAGGGGGAGGTAAACTGGGGACGAGATAAGGGCCTTACTTTTTGATATAATATCAAATATCCCAATTAGTTGATAAATATATGATCAGGTAATTCACAAAAGGAGATCACATAAAATTATACAGATAAATCATTATATAACAAACTTCTATAACTTTATACAAAATTGTACAAATACTTATATATAAGTAATATTAACATGAAAGAATTAGCAAATTCTTCTAGCTATAAAAAAATAAAAATTCTATTTTTGCCTTTGATATTGCTCATAATTAAAAAGACTCCTAACATCAATGTTAACAAAGGTATGAAGAACCAAGTAGTCTCTTCAAAACTCAGCACAGTTGTAAATTTACACCTGTATGTACTTAAATTTAATGTCTACATTTCCCATTATACCCTAAGCGCCAAGAAATTCTATTTCTTAGGGGCCTCACTGACTAGAATTATACCTGATATGTAAAATCCTTAACATTTAAATTAACAAATAAATGTACAAATTATTGTTGTGAATATAAATTGGTTCATTTTCTAGAGGGTAATATATAGCAAACATCTCAACATGTCCTTACAATTAACTCAGTAACTCCATTACTAAAAATTTATCCTATGGAAATTATAAATCATTCTATTTAAGTTGTTCAAAGCATTGATATTTATGCTAAATAAGTTACAAAACTTATGGCACATTTGTAACTGGAATATTACACTGTCATCAAAAACACCATAAAACATTTATATTACAAAATATTCATAGTAAAGTTTTTTCTTTAAGCAGTAAGTACTATATCTAACAAATTATCATTTTAGTAAAATATATGTATCTATAATATTTGTAAGACACAATAGGTCATTCCCCAAAATGACACCTGGTGAGTATTTCAAGGTGTTAGAATCATAGGTGATTTTTATTCTTTTTCCTACATAAAGCATTTATTGTTTCATTATAATCTCCTCACCACTCATTCAGAATTTTCTAAAAGAAACCAATCTGTTTTCAAAAGACAATCTTACTGATGTCTAAGCAAGTTAAAAATGACCTGAAAATACTAAAACAGGCACTAAATATTATACATCAGCTTGTACAACTTTATATCCCTATTATCTTAGATTATTTCACTAATGACACTTTTTAACCTATTAGTCCCATTTCTCTGAAGAATCTTAATAGTTAATGTGTCTCCAAATAAAATGACAAATGAAGATTGTTTCACATAAAATATTATACAGTTGGTAAATATAAAAAAAATAACACAACACTAAGCTGAATGTTCATGATAAAATGTATTAGATTCACATCATATAACTTACAGAGATTTTAAAGATAAAATGACTCAAAAATATATTAATTATACATTTGTTATAGGACCAAATAATGTGATAATTTATTTTTCTGCTTGTCATGGACTATCAGAAAAGATTCAATTTATAAAATCTTCCAACATTATCTGTGAAAACTTTTAGATCATATCTAGAGGAGACCACAGACACAATTACGAGATAATGACACAGAGGAGTTTTTCTTCCATCAAGTACTTAGTACACTGCTGAGTTCAAGCAGGTGTGTGGAGTTTCCTTTCCTTTTAGTCCTCACTAAAAGGAGGACTATATACCAGCAGCTATATACCAGCAGCTTCTCTCTGCATTTCGGGAGTCCTCTTCACCATTAGTCAGTCCCCAGAGCAGCCTGCACTTTCTGTATCCTCCTTTTAGATACTCTAGATTAGTACCTGCCAGATTCCAATCTTTTATTTTATGAAATGAAAATACCCTATATTTTTCCAATCACCATCCTTTATACCCCTTTGATCTTTTCTGTTCTCTGCACTCCTTAACCTCAGAAGTCTCACTTCATTCACTAGTATCTACTAGATTTTGTAAGTATTTTGCTTTGTTGAATCATACACTAGCTGAACATCCAACATTTGCCTATATCATTCTGACTTGCTTTACTATACATACTTCCCTAGAACTCCATTTTGCGATGAATGTCAGTATTTCATCCTTACAGCTGAATAGTATTCCATTGTGTGGACGCACCATATCTTCTTGATTCAATCCTTTATCAGTGGACACTTAAGTTGTTCCATGTCCTAGTGATTATACATAATGCAGCAATAAGCATTGTAGCATATAGTTTTTTTGAGTTCATGGGTTTATGTATTTTAAACAAATACCCCAGCATTTCCAATTTTAGTTTTTTAAGGTAAATCCTGATCACTTTCCAAAATGGCTACCTGATCAAAAAAGATTAACTCATGCCATTTGCAGCAACATGGATGGAGCTGGAAGGGATAATACTAAATAAAATAAGTCAGAAGAAGAAATACCAGACAGTGTCACTGATATGTGGAATGTAAAGTAACTAAACTAACAGTCAGATAAAGACAGTTTAAAAACTAACCCTTGATAGCTGACTACAAAACCAAAGCACCAAGGAGGGAGAAGGTGGGGGAGGGCTAAGAACAAAGAAGGAAGGAAGCACAATGTCTATGGTGGTGGGTGCACTA